GATAAACAACAAGCTTATAGTGTATAGCATAGTGAACTATATTCAATATCTTGTACTAACATCTGGTGAAAGAGAATATGAAAACAAATATATGTACGTTCCTGTATGACTGAAGTATTGTGCTGTACACCAGAATTTGACACAACATTGTAAACTGACCATACTTCAATTAAAAACAAAAAAAGTACAATGACCAAGTAACAGCTCATTACTATCAGACTAAAAAACAGGTTTCACATCAGCCAAAATCCTATCAGCATTTAGACTGAAATTAAACCTTTCCCTCAGCCAGAATTCTCCTATCAATTTAGACTGAAATACAACTTTACCCTCTTTCCACACAACTTGAAAATCAGTACCAAAGCTGGTGATTTCTCATCTGAATTATAATTCTCTCCTGCTATTCAGAATTAACTCTCAGAACCTAGTTTTTTTCAAATCTGAGATCTCATAAGCTGACAAATGAGTTGGATGTAAAGGCCTTGAGAGGAGCCACAAGTGGGGAAGGCTGTGAGGTGCCTGGGTGTACTGTGAGGTGACTGCCCCATATACCTGGCCTGAGTCAGCCCTCAGGGGGAGTGCTGCCTGCTCAGTAATTGCTTCATTACAAGTGGAGACTGCAGGTGCTGAGATCACTCACTTGTGGGGATTTTATTGCACTCATCAGATCAACAAACATTTTTGATTAAAAGCCACTTCACTGGCTCTGAGCACACGACTTTTAATAACAGGACAGTATCTACTGCTACCCAGCACCAACGCACATTCAACACTGAGATCCGCAGGGGGCAACAGAGAAACAAGGTGAGGAGACAGATGCCAAGTTTTTCCTCAAGTGCACAGTTGCAGAGCTCAAATCTTAGAATATACAAGCAAAAAGTAATCTAGATATCAAGATGGCCAATGTAAATATCTATACTGGTATCAGACAAGCTAAAAAAAAAAAAGTGAGCGAATGTGACTGATACAAGGCACTAGGAGAGCATGTACTCCACCAAATTAAAACACTTTTAAAACCTGTGTCAGCCAAACAAAAGACACCTATGATCATCTATGATCCATATTTGGACAAAACCTGTGTCAGCCAAACAAAAGACACCTATGATCATCTATGATCCATATTTGGACCATAGTCAGTGAGTCTGTAACCCCCAGTGAAGTTCAAGTCCTTCATGTTACAGATGAGGAAACAAAAGTTCAAACAAGGGGCCATGATGGAAGGACGCAAAAGAACTACAAAGGCTACTGATAAGAAAGCACTGTTTGTTGATTATTCACTGTGTGTAGGCATGTTCTAGGCACTTTACATACATTGTCTCATTTAATCCTCAAACCTACACTGTGAGGTAAGATGCAGTCTGCTAAGGAGACTGCCAGCCATCCACTAAAACACACTCACCCCTTTTTCCACAGTAATGGCCCTGTAGTAGGGCTCGCAGCCTCCTAGCTGATGAATGCCACCTCCCTTGCAGTAAGTGAGGCCTTGCATCTGAGCTACTTTTTAACCAACAGAGAGTGAGCACTTGGAGCCCAGTACGGCAGTGAGTGTGCTTCCTCCACTCTTTCCCTATCAGTGGACGCCTCAATGGTGTGCAACCTAGTTTCATTCATGAGGTGACAACAAGGTCCTGGGGGATGGCAGAGCCACAAGATGGAAGGAATATGGCAGAACCACTACTGTCCTGATACTCTAGACCAGGAGTTAGCAAACTATGGTCTGTGGGCCAAATACAGTCCACTAGTTTCTATAAATACAGTTTTATTGGAACACTCATTAATTTCTATACTGTCTATGGCTGCTTTTGTGCTAAGACAGCCTATCTGAGTATAGCTGACTCTCATTATTTGCGATAGTTTATAAAGATGCCAACAATGAATTAGCAAATACTGAACCAGGTTAGGTTCCTAGGAGCCTCTGGTCTCAGTATTTTTATCAGCTAATCAATACAAAATCTTGTTTTGTGTGTGTTTCTATTTAAAGAGACCTTATTTAATATATATTGTTGATTCATTAACAATGAACTCACATCCAACAGCACAAAAACTCATGCCTGAAAAAGCATATCTAACATATACATTTTCTCTGCATGGCATGCCACAGCCTTCTTGCACTTTGGAAAGCTAACAGTACTTCAGCACTACACTTGTGGGCTGTTTTTAAACAGCAAAATCACCAATAAAAAAAAAAATGCAAGAAACATGGTAGTAAATAAACCAGAAAAAGGACACTTGTTTACAGCACATTGAAGAACTGAAAGACACAGCATTGCCTTGTTCAATCTTAAGTGGACACGTGGGCCTCAGGTGAATCAAATCTCACTGCTTTCAGTTTGTTAATTACTACAAGTCTTTCAAGTACTGAAGTAGGGGTTACAAACATTTTAGCAAGTAGACAAATTCACAAATACAAAATATCTGAATAATGAGGATCAACTGCAGTTGCAACAGAAACAATACAGCCCAAAAAGCCTAAAATATTTACTATCTGATCCTTTTTAGACAACATCTGCCAATCCCTGCTTCAGCGTGTCGGAAAAAAAGAAAATCTTATTCTTGAAGCCACTGAATGCTAGGGTTTCCCTCTTATAGCAATTTATCATATCCTAATACAGGCTATAAAATCTATGCTCTTCCCACTTCATAGTGCCATCTCATTTTACCATCTATATTCTCTTTTACAAGGGGATTCACATTTCCATCAACCTTCTTTCCTATCAAGTAGGTAAATATTTCTCAAGGGATGGTACTAAAACCTCTTGCATAAGCATGGGTGTTACTTGTCTACAATGCAGGTTCTTTGTTAAACTATTTACATACCCAAGTCCTACTGAATTACTCAGGATGGGGGAAAATTCAACTTTCCATTTTTAACAACACAGATAATTCTCAATATATTCTTACGTTTGAGAATCACTGAACTGGCAAAAAGCTCAAGAAGACTGTTACCCCGTATCTTTCTTGCAACCCCTGGGAGAGTGATCTAAAAGAACTGTAACACAGGAGGAACAAGATGCACCAGAAAGCAAATCACCTGTGCATGATTCTCAGCGCCTCAACCACTTTAACCTGGGCTCTACTTGAAACCTATTTCCCTTCCTCATCCATAAAAATCTCATAGGCTTGTAATGAGAATTAACCAAGAGTGTAAATAACATAGCAATTGCTCAATACGTATCAATTTTCTTTCCCTTCCAAATATAATTATTTGTAAGCTCTTTGGGAACACCATCATTCCAGAATTCTCTACAAATTCCCATAGGTCCCCAGAGTAATTTTCAAGCTACACGCTTCACGACCCCAGAGGAAAAATTTCCCATCTCAGGGGACATTTAACCCACCGGTAATATATTAAACAGTATGGTCTTCCTCATCTTTGGAGGGCCCCTCATCTATAGGTTTCTACCCCTTTGGGATCCCCCTTACCTCCGAGTACCTGCCCCTTTTGACTCTCCTTTATTTAAACGTCTCCCTCAGGGACGATTTCCGTGTCCCACACCGTTTGGGGCTCCCCTTCACCTCCGTGTCTCTTCCCTCTGGAGGTCCCCTCACTTTCTGTTCCCACCTCTCGTCTCCCTACCCCCACCCCCGCCGTCCGGCTCTCCAACATTCGGTTCCCCCATCCGGCCCTCTCACGATCCTCGCGTTCCTCTCCGAAACCCACGTCGTCTTCGCTTTCTCCCCTCACCTCTACCTCCAACCTGCGGCCTGGCCGACCACAACCCCGCCGCAGGGAGAAAGCAGTTAACGGTGTAGCCTACCCCCAATTTCTCCCCTTACCTCTACAGCGACGCCCAGATTCTCCCGCTTCTTTTTAGTCATGTTACTTGCCGGAATCCCGCAGTCATTATTGGACGCGCCCACCAGTGGCACCACGCATGCGCAAAGACTCGTGCTTCTTCCTCATTGGCCGCCGGGGTGGCGGGAGGTGGGGCTGCTGGCAGTCGCCATCTTGGCGCGGCCATGTTTATGAGGGGCAATCACTATTTGAAGCCTCCGCCTAGCGGGCCGTGAGAGGAGAGTAACTAGATTGGCCCGGGAGGAGCGGTGGCCCGCCCAGGGGTGGAGCTGCCTCTTTCTTTACTAATTCAAAGCCACTTAACAGCCTAGAGAGACTTTTTTCACGCCATCGTCTTCTGTGCTCTTCATCCTTTTAGTGACCACCCCGCCCAGCTGAGGCCAGTTCCCCCCCCCTTCATTCTGTCAAGATCTCTCCAGCCTTCAAGGCCCGTCCCAAAGCACTGCTCCTCCCCGAAGTCCCATCTTGAGCTCCGTGGCTCTTTGGGATCTGATGAGCTTATGTTCTTATTCCTCCTTTTTATCATTTTTCTTGTTTTATTGTAAGAACAGCCCACAAACATCACAGAAAACTTCTAAGTGAAAAATACCATCCTTTATCCTACCACTCAACACAGTTTCTGTCTTTGTTTCTGTGTATTCCCGTCCAGTCTTGGTCTCGGACATAGTACTTGATGCTGTGGTAATTCTGTTATACAGTACGCTGTAGACCCGTATCCTTTGAGATGCTTTGACTATGATCTGATGAAAAAGATACAATTTTGTGTCATAGCCCAGTTACTCATATAACTGATTCCTGATAAACACCTTTACCACCTGTGATGCGCTCAGATATTTTCTAATCTAGTCTATTTAATTAAAACATAAGTTGGTAGCAGGAGACCTATTATTTCATGAGTCATTAATATTGAACTGCAATTTGAAAAACATTGTCATATACATTTTTCCATGTCTCGAAATCATCCTTTGTGATGGCTGTATATGCCACCAAGTGAATACACCACATTCTTGTACTGAACACTATTTTATTGGACAGTACCTGTGAATAATGCTAAAGCAAACATGTTTGTGTAGAAAGCTCTGTCCTTCTGAATTCTTTCTTTAAGATAAATTTGCACAAGTGGAATTACTGAGTCAAAGAGTATGAGACTGGATTGTACTATGTAGCACAGGGAAATATATACAG